GTTTCCGTCTTCTTCGGGTGTAGGGTCATTCGTTACACCTCTGGATAGCGCATCCGCAACTTTATTGGCGCTACCCTTTACATACTGTATTTCCAAGTCGTACGCTTGTAGTTCTAGCGCCCAACGGATTACTCGAGGTGACACATTATTTCTCTTAAATAATGTGGTTAGCGGTTGGTGATCCGTTCTTATGATGGTTTTCATGCCGAAAACGAAAAAGTGAAACTTTTTGACTGCATATATTATGGCGAGAGCTTCGATGTCCGTGATGTGGTAGCGTTGCTCCGTCTTTGATAACTTTTTTGACGTAAAGTACAGTGGGTGCAGTAGGTTATCTGCGCCTTCCTGACATAGTACCGCTCCTACGCCAATAGTGCTTGCGTCAGTGTAAATTATATACGGCTTTTCTCCTGTTTTGGCCTTCTCGATATTAGGTTGGTCTAAAACTGGTGCTGATGCTATGACTTTTTTAAGGTTCTCAAACGAATGTTCCTGTTCACCGCTCCATACGAATGGCGCTTTCGTACTCGTCAGGTCGAAAAGCGGCTTGGCAATTGACGAGAACCTTAGGATGAATTTTCTATAGTAACCGCAGAGTCCTAGGAAGGTTCTGAGCTCCGCGAGATTACTTGGTTTAGGATAGTTTAGGATCTTCGCGACTTTGTCGGGATCCATATTTACTCCTTTCTCATTGATAATGTGTCCTAGGAACGATACTTGCTGTTCCATCAGCCGGCACTTTTGCGGTTTGAACTTCAATTTTGCTTTCCTAAACGCCTCGAACACCTTTGTAAGCATTTGTAGGTGGCGTTCTTCACTGTCTGTAGCGACTAGTATATCGTCAATGTAGACGAATACTTCTTCTCCCTTCAGCTCACCAAGAACTCGATCCATTAGTCTTTGAAACACCGCCGGGGAGGTACACAGGCCAAAAGGCAAGACTAGAAACTCATAGAGACCTTCTGGTGTTGTGAAAGCANNGTGCTTGTTCAGTGCTCTATAATCGACGCACAGTCGAAGCGTTTTATCCTTTTTCTGGACTAACACTATTGGGGATGCCCAATCTGAGGTAGATTTTCTGATGATCTTTCGTTCTTCCAGATCATCCAAAATATTCTTCAACTCTGGCCTTACTCCTTGTGGCACTGGTCGGGTTCTTTGCTTGATGGCTTTGGTGTCACCCGTGTCAATGCCATGTTCAATGAGATCCGTTTGCGTCAGCTCCTTGTCACTCAGCGCAAATACATCCTGGAAGGTTGTGATTACCTCGGTCAACCTTTCTGCGAAACAATCAAGCTCGCGGTTGCTCATGAGTTGCTTCACCAAGGTGTTGATCCTCTCCGGCTCTACCCCCTTGGACACCTCCAGCATGTCGGACTCCATATCCCTTAGTGCTGAGTGTATCGAGTGGACCTCTTCCCAAGTGCCCACTTTTTGTCCTTCTCGAAATATTATCGGCTGTGCTGTGTGGTTGAGCACTGGTATCTCCGTAGTACCTTCTTTGGACAACGCACATACTCCCGTTGGGATGTGCGCGTCAACGGAGCAAAGCGTCGCAACCTTCTGGCGACCCTTTGTGGATATCTGGATAGGTACGCAACCACCGGGGCTAACGTATACTCGTCTCACTACCGTGGCTTCATTTGTCGGGGACCCTGCAATTACGAGAGTGGTTTGTTGGCGAGTTCGCTCCTCTCTGGAATCTTCCTGTTGGAATTCCTCTTCTGGCTGCCCTCTTGAATGATCGCCTTCTACAATTGTATTTCCCGGGCATTCATCCTGCTTTTCCTTCCCTGTATTGCACATCGCCTCTTCTGTGCGTGTGTCCTTATCAATTCTTATATGAATGCCGAGAATTTCCAACACGTTGGTACCCAACAGGATGACATTGTCCCTCAT